TTAAATTTTTTTCGCCATTTATATTACGTGCTGTGAAAGATGCCATTTCTAAAAAAAATTTACCACTTTTTGAAACGATATACCAGTTTCTTTTGTGGCATTAATCTTGTTTTGTTGATTGAACCTTGCGATTATATGTAAAATCAAAGACATAAATGGTCTTAACTGAAACAAGTCTTTTTGTTTTTACCGTACAAGTTATCACTTTTCATTGCTTTTAAAACAACTTCCCAAATTTCCACTTAATTTATCTTACAAACTAATCTCTCTTTGTAATCTCTTTGCGACGCGGAATAAGTAAAAAGGCTTAGTTATAATATGAAAATCTGCATAGCTACATGTATAGATAGCACCTTTGCAACTTCATTAATATAGTGAACAATTCAAGTACAGACGGAGGTCACGTTTCACAGTCGGAACGTCAAGTGACAATAAATCGTTGCTCTGTGCAGTAATCGGGGTTAAAATTTAACAAATGGCTCTAAAAATGCTGATAACTCTGAAAAGAAAATTTCAAATGTTGAACGGAAAATCAATGGGTTTAAACTCAATGTTGAAAAAGCGGAATTTGCTACTCAGTGAAGATAAAACAAATTTTTTTCTATCTGTAAGAGTAAAATGATAAGAAAAAGACGCTATGCATTGAAGGTCGAAAATTAAGCAAAAGCTAAAGCTTCAATGTTGGTGGGTTCAAGAAGGATTTCTAACTTTTCAGCTATAAATCTTTTTGAAGCAAAAAGATTATGACTCATTTCATTCAAAAAAATTTCTTGGATGATTTCTGCAACTCAGCGAAATCCTACGTCACAGTTCGACTGTAATAAGCTGGTTTAAAAGTCCTGTCGTAACGAATGTGTTCATTTTATTTGAAACTAATTAAAGAACTAGTAGCTTTCTGCACTCAAGTCATTCTTATTAGTAACTTTTGTTACCCTTTAGGCAGGTCCGCAGCAGTGTCTATAGAAAGGAGCTTTTTAGAGCTTGAAAAATTATCTAACAAAGTCTTCGACCTTTTCTTAACCCGTGAATTTTCCCAACCGTTTAATTTTCTAGTGACCATTAGATGGAGCATGGTGTGGGGCGTACGGAGGTTATTAGCGACGTATTGAACCGGCATGCGTCAGAAGTGCTTAGCTGGTGATACCAATTTGAAGACCAGTAATGGAGTACGGGAGAAGTTTTGATAAATACCTTTGAAACAGCATCAAACGACTTCATCTGCTCACTGAAAACTTCGAAGTAACCGTCGTACTTGTGCAAGTAGCAGTGTAGCCTGCAGAGTATCAATTCCATTAAAACACTATTCAGTTTTTCGCATGACCTTAGTGGTCATTTCCGCATAACACTATTCCAAAAGCATAAAAGTTTCACAATCAGTTCTGAGAAAGCGGACAAAATGGGTAACGTTTTTGTTGACTAAAAGCAGGGCATCTAAGTAGGTTACTCATTACTTTTTCCAATCATAAATTCCATCATTCTCCGTGACTCATGATTAACAATTTCTAACAGTTTTTTTTTCAAATTCAAATTCGGACCATAATAAGTATTTAATGCTGTCTGGGATCACGCAAGATCAAGATAATATTGGAACCACCAACGACTGTGTGACAGTCCGCACTCATATGACTGTAAGTTCCAACTGCAGCACACCGTCGTCGTCGAACTACAGACGCTATGCAGGCGTCACACCTAATTACAACTCCGTGCAGAATCAACAAACCATTCATCCCACGCAAATCTGCCACCAAAATCCTAGAAGAAGCAACCAGTCTACAAGCCTATAATCAACAAGTCAGCCACGAACCGCAGAACAATTAACCTCTGAAACAACTTCGTCCACATTGTTCTTCAGTGTGGTAAACTTCACTGACAATGGACTCTTCATTGGTTGTAACATCCACTCTGTGGCAGCTATCCTTAAAGTCTGCGCTCAATTCTCAACGGGTTTTGAAAAGAGCTAATTTTTAGAGTACAGCGCAATTTGCAAGTTGCACAGAGCACAAGATACCCCTTCTAGACAATTTTCACCCAAAAAATTATCAATACACAGTTTCGGCATCAATCAACCGCTGAACAGTCCTAATTAGGAATGTCTCTTGCGAAAAACAAAACAAAAAAAAAAAGATTAAAACAAGGTAAAAAAATTTTGTCAAAAAAGAGCAAAAAATTTTCAGTTTTCTTTCAACAGATGCCAAAACTTCCTTTATTTCTTATTTTTGTAAAAATAGGTAAAACAAGCAATAGTTCATTATTTATTCAGCTATTATTACTGTTACTGTTTTTCATCTATGACTCGGTAAACTTTCCAAAATTATTATTTTTTCTTAACATTTCTAAACTGCTACGGTGGAGTCTATTAAATTGAAACAACGCCGTTGCGCCCTGACCTTGATCTATTTCTCCTTTACCTGCCTTACAGAAATAATCGTTTTTATATGAGTTCTTTTTCAAACTGTTTTTAGTCCTACTCAGTTTGTTTTTGTTTAAAGGTAAAGTAGTTCCGAATAAATATAACTTTAGCAAAAAGCAACGGTTAGGTAGCGCTACGATTTCGGTGTTGTATGACAGACTTTTGTTCAACTGTTTATTTTGGGTAGTAACTTTAGAGAAGCTCTCTTGTATAAGTCAAGGAACATTTTAGATACTTGTTTTACAGTTTATATCATAAAATATCGGTATCAGGGGAGTATTTAAGATTCTTTACTGTACGAAATTCACTAGATATTTATCTACTGATATTATTTAGGTTAAAATTTCTTGTTTTATTACCAAATTGAGCTGACGATTAAGCACAATATGATGACTGTGAAATTGCTACGTTTAGTGAGCAACCATTTCCTTTCATTATTACAACTTTTCTGAAGTATAATTGTGTTTTTTAAATAGCTTTTTTTCGTTTACAAAGAAATGTGTTGGAAAAATTTATTTTTTTTGAATCATTTTGCTGTCAATTCAGTTGGTGAGAAATGTTTTTTCGATTGGCAACAGTGAGTTCAAAATTTACCATTTTATTAAATTATTAGTTTCAAGTAGTGAAAGGTGGTGACCTCAAATAAGTTGATTTTCATCTGCCTCTTAAGTGTTTTAGAGATTCAATCAACTTTTTCTGTCGTTGAAAAACTAAAATAAACGCCACCAAGGTGGTTGCGTCGAAATTAAATATGTGTAAAAATAGCAAGGAAAAGTAATCATGTTGTTCAACGATTTCTGCAACCGCAGTGACGTAATTCGAATTTATGGACAAGTTATCTTATGTATTTCTACTACCAGTAATACTCTAGCCAAATGAACACAGCGTCTTTTTAATTACCAAATATATCACTTAAATAGCGCTACTGACTTACTTTTTGAAAGGCTGCTTAACTGTTCCGAATTTAGAAGTTCTGAGACAAAATGTCTGCAATATCATACAATTTAAGGGCCTTCTGCTCACTTCCTTGACTAGCTAATGACCAATCATAACTAAAACTTTCAAGTTCTTAAAAAATCGAGATAACGTTAAAGTCTAATTCATGAAAACATAAAATGACAAAGAAATAACAAAAAGTGTGTTTCCATCAATCTTAGGGTCAGTCAAATACGTTTCTGAAAAATAAAAAACAAATTTGATCAAAAATGATCTTTTTTCACCCAATTTCTTCTGACATCACTATGTATCTGTTTGTTTCTCTTCTTGTCACCAAATCTTTTTTTGACGTATATGAGAACAACTTCTTGTGGTCCTAAATAACCCTGTTTAGTTCTTAACGATTAACAAACTGGAGCTTTCAATTTGAATTGAAAGTGCATTTGATGAACCAGAGAAGACAACGAATAAAGGTCAGGCACGACCAAAAAAATTTTCAGCAATATTTCACTCACGAAGTGAACAATACCTAATTGCAATCAAGAGAGGAAAGAAAAGCAAGAAAAAAAAAGGGAAAAGGAAGAAACTGAGTAGAACTTAAGAAAGTTTAAAAATTGCCAAAAAACTTCTAAATACTGCATAACTGGTTGTGAATATTCGTGTTACAAAGTACAAGAAAACACCGCTTTTTTTTGTTTTTTCCTCTGTAACTTTCCAATCATTTTCAACTGGAACGGAAAAAAAAAGCCAAAAAAAAATGTGAATTTAAAAAAAAAAATGACGTTGTTCAGTGTTTTTTCTAAGTGCCAGTGATGGCGATGCATTTTAATGCTTTTGACGTATTGATGTCAAAGTGTTGAAACCTTCATCTTTAACCGTTATTGAGGAAAATGTAATAAAAAGTAGCAAAATCTTGCTTTTATTCAATGATTCACGAGAAAATAGTTGCTGCTTTTCTTCAGTTCATCCATACTGTTCGTCACTTTGTACTAATCATTAGAAAGAGCATTAAAAACTGGCAAAAATCAGTAGAATTTATAAAAAAATTCCAAAAGAGAAAAAGAAGGATCAAATATATCAGCCTCTATTTGCAGCAAGAAAGATTTTAAATGTTTAAAGACAATATAAATCTCTTTACACGAAAATTAAACAGTGAAAAATGAAGAAAACAGTCTTAAATCTCTCAATTTTATAGCGTCATAAAATTGTTGAATTTCTGATATGCCTGTTTATAAACAGAATTCTACACAGTTAGATAAACTATCGGAAACAAATATTTAAACAATGACGGCTTTCGAGCATGAAGGAAACACAGCAGTAACTGTGACCGCAGTCGAAGTGGTCGGCAGATTGACGGCAGCAAAGAGCAGAACTGCAGCAACAATCGGCTACACTGTTTCAGCAAATCATCACGTTGCTGTCCAAAATCACTAACAGTTACAGTTTTACCATATGATTAAAACTGATAACTACAACGTATGGCAAGACATAATTTAAAAATTATTATATTTTTAGTTTTGAATACAGACTACAGTACACTGCCAATCAACAAGCGCTTAAGAACTTAGCAGTCAAAATCCTTAAACCGCGTTCTGTTAGACCCAATTTTTTCCTTAGAAATCAGCACTTTCGTTCTTTGCTTTGCAGTCAGAAGAGCAAAACTGTTGTTCTGGTATTGTCTTCAAAATTCCGTTGCACAGACTAAACAACAATAACAACGAAAAAACTGTTTTTTCTTTCTTTTTCTCTTTAGTATTTTTGCTCGACAAATTTCTTGGTTTATCGTTCACAAAAAGAAGTTGTTTAATTTTTTTCTCCTTTTTTTTTTTTATTTTTTGCTCCTGTAGCTGATGACAAATCCTGAGATGTCTTTGGCAACTTCTTTGATGTAGTTCACCGTTGGGCAGTTGGCTTTTCTGCACCTCTTTTTATTTTAACTTTTTCCAAAGTTTAATTTTGTTGTTTCTCACTAAAACTTTTTAAGTCACTACTGTTATTTCTGTTTCTTTTTGTCTATTTCGTCCCTCTTTCATCAACTGATGCTTCCAAAGCCTATGATGACATTCAGGATTTGCTATGGAAAGTCCATATTCATAATTCAATACGTCTTTAAAAATTCCTTTGTAGAAGCCACATTTGAATTGTAGCTCGCAGATGCTAAAAACTGAAATTTTGGTGGTTGATTCAAAGAAGAAAGAAAAAAGTAGTGCCACAGTATCAATTAGTGACGTGAATACAAATTACAGTGGCACAATTCTAATCTGAAAGAATCTGTCAAGTTATTTTTGGCACAGAAGGGCGATAGGCAGTTTCTCTACCCCAAAGATCGTATTTCAAAACTGTTTTTAGTCTGAAACCGCTACTTCCCATTTTTTGTTGTGGTAACTTCGCTGCTGATGCGTCGCAAATTTTGAGAATTTTGAAATTCCTTTATTATAATAGTCAAATTTTTGTTTGTTTCGTAGGTGGAAATTTGGAATTTTCTTTAATTTTTATCAAAGTTTAGAGCCATAATTTTAACAGGTTGTTTAAGACCAGTAAACAATCAATTACTTGAAAAATGATGCATCTTTGTTTTTTGAACAGCTAACATTTTTTAATTTTTTTTTTTAGCTCTAATGTAACAAAACAACTGCCTCGTTAAGTTAAACAGTCTTTCATATACAGCAGTTTGCAATAATATGCCAAGCAATAAAGCTTAAACTTTGTTGAGAACGTTTGACATCTGTCGACCTCTGGAGTTTTGGTAATTGCTAAGAAAAAAAATTGATGGAAAAAAGTGAAACGGAGAAGAAAGAAAGAAATTGTATACGTACTTGTGGCACAAAAAGTTACTGTTTATTAATGTTCAAATTGATAAATTTTACAGTTTTTTTGTTTACTGATTGAGGTATTACGTTGGTTAGGTAACTCGAACTGTTTCAATTTTTTAATTATATTTTAGAGACGAATAAAAGATGAAAAAACCAAGACGATAGAAAAAAGCTTTTAATTTGTTTCCGTTTTTTTCTTCTTTTCTTTACAGGCCAATCGTAACTGTTATTGAAAAGATTATTTTGCACGTCTGATTTACTTGATTGAACGTGGCAAGTCAGAACTAACAGAAACGTTGGCTGAGCAAAAGCGGATATAAATTGGTACCAGCCCGAAGGGCGTCAAAGGACATATTTTCTGTGTCGGCCGAAAACTATACTGCCATTCCATTGCTTCCCAAACCATGTCAACTAGCTTCATTTTTTTCGCCTTGTTGGCAGCTCTGATCGCCGTAGGTTCTTCTTCCCCACTTTCGATTCATTTTCTTTTTTCTTATACAATTTTTCGAGCTCGAATAGCGTGAGCTAAAATTTTTTTAATTTTGCATAGAGAAAAAAACGAAAGAAATGAGGCATTTATGGTTGGAAATTCTTTAAAATAATCAGTTGGATAAAAGAATTTAAAACAGTTCTTATTAGCTGACGTATGGTTGTTAATGGAGAACTTCCACCTTATTGCTTTACTGTTTGTTGCAGCAAACAAACGCATATGTAACTTCACTGACACAACGTGAATGCGGTCAAACGTATGCCTGCTGGTCATTTCCGGAAAATTGCAATGATCGAACCTGCGATGGAATTATCCGATGGAGACATAAAGGAAATTCTATACTTTTTGAATGGCAGGTGAAGTGAATTTTTGTTTTGATTAGTGGTTTTCTTTTGTGTGGCTTTATATGAACCAAAGTTTATTCGTATAAAGCTGGATACTTGCTTTTTTTTTAAAGCATTTTGGTAAGCCAGCTAGATCATTGCCAATAGTGAACAAATGATTCACATTAACTGCTGAAGAGTTTGTTAATGATTGGTAAATCTTGAGATTTTAAAATTTGAATTTCCAGTAATAGGTAGTTTGAATATGGCACAATGAAAAACTTATCTGAACAACCAAAAAAAATTCTTTTTCTCTTTCTCTTGCAGGCGTTTGTCTGTTTAAAAAGGAAAACATTTTGAAATAAAAATGCAACTAACGTGAATGCTTGTTTTTAAATTTATTTTAATTCACATGCTCTCCCAGTGTGCAATCAGCAGTTACAGGCATCTGAGATGTGCCACTGGAAAATGGAATTTTTAGAATGCTGATAACTGATAACTGTTTTATATGAAAAAAAACGGAATTACTTTCTTTTTGTTGTAGGCAAAAGAAAACCTTGGCCAACCCAGTCAAGGAAGATATTCATCAATTGGCTTCTCCAATGATGCATACATGGTAGCTTAAACACTGGTTATCACCACTTTCTTAGTTTTTTAAGTACTTGTTTAAGAAGCAAGTTTTATTGAAAAAAAAATCTTTTCTTTAATGATAAGATGCGAGAAGAAAATTATATGAATGTTTATAAATAATTTTTGCTTTGATGACATTTTTGCGATGAGAAAAGTGTTTTCACACGTCAGTTTCTCAGTCTGTCAGTCATATTTATCATCGTCTGTCTGCTTTTGTTAGGGTGACGATACAGTACTGGAATGTGTTTTTGATCCACAAGGTCATGGATCAGTATTTATCTCGTACAACGGGGCGTCGTCCAATCGTCAGCTTTTAGAAGCATCGAAGATAGTCTTAAAGAATAAAAAGGCTGCTATACAAGATGGCAAAATGGTGTGCAGTGTCGAATTTTTGCCAAGAGAAGTTCAGAAAGTTCCAGCATCTGAGAGAAAGAAGGTAATTTTTGCATCTCCTTTTCAGCACTTTATATAGAGAGTAAGAGTAAAAAATTTTTCATGAAATCTTTTTTAAAGTCAGACTTTACGAAATCAAAATGGTCTTTGAAAATGAAAAACCGGGGCTTCTTTGTTAATATTCCTTTGATTGAACGGTTAATCCACCGCTTTACAGATCCATGACCTTAACAGTAAAGGATATATGATACAGTATGCTAAAGGACTTGCTGATCCTCATAGTTAGTAACTTTTTTCTTCAGATTTATACACAACAGTAAAAATTGTCGTCTTTACACAGTGGAACAGTGTTTTTACTGTCAAAGACTAACAAAATATTTTACTGCTGAAAGTTTGTTCAAATTTGATTAAAGTAATTTATTGTAAGGTTTAGTCTGAATTATTTCTGCAAGCTGTTGTAATTAAAAATCAGCTGTTTTGCTAATCGATGCAATTTGGAAGTGCTAACACTTTGACGCAGCTGAGGTGGTTAACAACGGTTTTTGGTTATTCAATAGTTATAAGAATGCATTGCAGCTTTGGAAAAGCAAAGTCATGGAATGGTTGAAGGTGACGAGTTTTATCCGTGGTCGACTACGAGGAGAGTCCGCTTTTGCGAAAACTGTAGTGACAAATTAACAATTGTTACGGAGATGCAGCAGTAGCGGCAGATTTTGAAAACACTATTATTTGTTTATTTTGAGCAGTACTAATATAACTTATCAATGGTGAGCAATGCTTGCATCAAAGCACAATCGTAAGGGCACGTCAAAATTTATTTGGAACTTATTGATAGATAAATGAATACTGGATAAATTTAATTTCAAATTGTTGATATCCTGTGTAATTTAAATACTTCTAAAATGAAACAAATAAAAACTTCCCTACCGTTTTAATGTTACAAACAGGCATTCATTTGAACCAATTTTTTCGCAGCACTTTCATACATCTGGCATATGATTAGTTATTGAAACATGAAAAACTAATGGTATTTTTTAGGATGTGAAGAGATAAAACAGTCACAGATTTGTTGTCACAAAGGACAGAAAACTGGAATTTTGACCAATAGAGTTGCGATCAGTGTGAAAAGAATTGACAAAACAGAACTATACCTCCTTTAAGTTGCGAATTTTAGTAGAAAACTAAACAATTAGTGAACCAAAAAACCGTCTAAATTAGATATTGCCGTTAAAAAAGTGAGTAACACGAACTAGTTTTTGCTTAGAAACCTTTATCGAAATGAAAAAAGAATTGATTTTTTGGTGGAGATAATTTTGGTCTTTGAATTGCAACTGTACAAACACAATTTTACCGTCTCTTTGTTTCTTTTACAGTTGAGTTTGTCAGTTCAAGTAGGCACAGTTAAAATTTGAGCTCTTTTTTTTTAAACGAAAACGAATTTAAAAATGAAAACCAAAAAAATTTTCAGCTGCTAGGGGTTCAATCTTCAGTCAGAAGAGGTGGACAGAGAACTTGTGCCATACAACATTCCCAAGTTTAAAGGATGACTAAAGGGACAGAAATTTACCGTTGAAGGGGTGCGTTTTGCAACAGTGTAATTTTGCCGATGTTTTAATCAGCAACGAAGTATGATAGATTAAGTGGGTGAATGAGTGACTGGATCAACAAATTAGTGGTTAAAAAAACATGGTTTTTTGTAATCTTATTTTGCATCTCTCAGTGATTGTGTAATAATAATGCGAAAGTGTCCACTGCAGTTCTTTCAATTAATAACGATGTCAACGCTGTTGATGGCTACAAATGTTTGCCTTATGCGCATTTATTATACGCTTGCGCAAATATTTTCCAGTACTTTAAACTGCATCTTAGTTTCCTTTTTGACTAGAAGTGTTTGATATGTTACTCTGCATTTCTGGACGTCGAGTACAGCAACTTTTGAGTCAAATATAGTTCATATAAAATTTTTTGTTTTCTTCTTTTGTGTGAGAAAAGAAGTGCCCAAAAGCGAGTGCCTAGGTAGGTGCTTATATGCCAACACTACAGACTGCCTTCACTGCATTTGCACATAGGTATGGCAATTACGTAATATTAAAAATATTGCGCTATGTGTCTGGTGAAAAAATCAAATTTTGTTTATAAGCGTTAGAAATATAACTAAATAACCTAATATCTGAGAGACGATTGTACGGTGGTCTATAAAATTCATACATTCAACTTGTAATTTTCAGGGTTGCCACTCTGCGCGTGCATTATAACATGCATCAGCACCAGCACCGGCACCAACACCAGCATGAACAATAGCAACTATGATTAAGGAGAAGGAACGAGACGAAAAACAAAGGGTTTAAAAATAATAACCAATTTTTATTTTAAACTGAGGTTACACTATCACAGTAATAATTTGCGTGGCTGTTAATAGTGGAGAATAACGGTGCCTTGTAGTTTACGCTTCAGAAAGTAACATTCATTTGCTAAGGAGTTCTGCTTTTTCGTACATGTTCACTTTTGTTGTTGTAGTTGCTGTTGCTGTTGTTACTGCTACTGTCTCCGATTGTTATCGAAGTTTTGTCAAAGTGTATAAAGTAGAGTTTATGGACACATTTCTGTACAGCCGTATTTGGTTCCATCGCGTTAAATGAAGAGACTTTATTGAACTGTGGTTGCTACCTGTTTAGTAATTTTAACAATGAGTAACGGTGATCTGTCTATCTAACCTGGCGGTTGCTGGTTTCGTTGTGTTGCAAAGTGCAAAAAGCTTTTTGCACTTTCGGTAAAGGAGAACAAAAGGGATGCTATTTTTTGTTTGCCAGTAGTGCGCCGTTAGATGGGCTGATGTTCGGAAGAAAATCTTGACTTTGGGCTAAACCGATTAAAGCTTGACATAGCTCATCAGTTTCATTTCGGAAATGACAAAGTTTGGTAATGTTTGGTGAAAATTCGTAGCTTTTGATTATTTAAAATGCCCATTGTATTTTGAAATATGTGTACATATACGTGTACGATTTGTTCAAATTTCGAAGCGTCTAATATTCTTCTTCAATCTTTAAGTTTTTTGCTTATTCAAAGCAAAAACTTTTTTGCCTTCTCTTATGTAATTTTAATCACGTTTGACGTAGTGATGAATCTTATTGTCATGTCTGTGTTGTTTGAAAACTAAGAAATGTCTACATGTCTCCTAAAACCGACTTGTTTTCTGTGTTTCCTTTTACCTTTATAATTAGGTTCTCTGATATTTGGATCAGCAAAAACGTTAGTAGATTTTCCAACCAAATCCAAAAACATATGAAACTACAACTGTTTTTGAGGCCTTACATAGACCTATGCAAAGCAGACACGTCCAAATAGTTAGTCGGATTGGTTGGCTGGTTGGCTGATTGTGATGGTAGACTGAAAGTAGAGCAGAAAAAAATGTAAATTTTATGTAAATTTTGTTGTGAAACAAAAATTTTGAGTAAGTTTTGTGCCGAAGTTTGTTTTTCTATAGTTAGTTGCAGTGGAAAGTTGATAAGCCGGCAAAAATCCCCAACAGCCAACAGATCATACAGTCTTCTAATACGAAAAGATACACAGTTTTGCCCGTAGTTCCGGGGGTTCGACGCTAGTAGCCGAATATTGTCAACGTACCAGCCAACAATTACGCAGCAGAGACAAACAAATCGTCATATATTGGCGGTATATTGTTGAGGTCATTTTGCTCCGTGTTTCGCACTGTTCCAAATAGTATCGCGTATTTTCAACGTTGATGCTCTCGTCGGTTACGGCCAAGTTTCTCCTTCTCGTCTTCGCAGCCCAGGTTTGAGAAATTTTTTAAAATTTATTTTCTTTATCAGAGGTTGCATACCTTTGAAGAAAATTAACACGGATGACAAACAAATTGATAAAAAGTTCTGGATGGCGGGGCTTAATAAGGATAGTATTTGCAGTGCAGTTGTTGTTGGAGAGATTTGTAAAAGAATGTAATTACTGAATGACTAAATGTTCAAGCAGTAGTCTAATTTTTGGCGATAGAGCGATAGCAGGAGCATAAAAAGTCTTTGTAATTGTAGTGCTTTTTAGCTTATTATCACTCAATCGAAGAAGTCAAAGGTTACATATAGCCTCTTTTTTTTGATCTTTTTTGAGCTATAAGCCCTCTAACAAGGGTAAAATGTGTGTGTATGTGTGGTTAATCTATCTTTAAAAAATTTTTAAAAATATTATTAAACAACGTTAGCATTTTTGATTTTTTTTTTCGAAAAATAGTACAATTGCTACAGTTATTTAGCCAGATTTTTTTCCCCTTACAGTTTTAATGATGTTTTTTGGATGCAGAAATACGAACGAAATTTGTGATTAAAGCAACCCGTTGTAATAGAGTATCTGATTTATATAACAGCTACGACTTATCTAGTTTTGTTCAACGAGTCAGTTTTTTTTAAAGTTTTTCTGTCGCTGCTATCAAAGGTTTTGAGTTCTCATAGCTTTCATCTGCTGTCGTAATTACGAAGAAGCTAGTGTCGTTATATAAGGGACATTGCTTTTTTCTACTGGTGAGGGTTTGTTCGCATTACAAATTAACAGAGTTGGTTTACTGGAGCTCAAATGTTGATTAAGCTGTTTTAACTTGGGCTGTTTGTGGTTTTCTGTTCAGCTTGTTGTTCCTTCTTCTTACCCTTCTTTTTCTTATTTACCTTTTTCTCGCTGTGTAAGAGGTGATATGTTGGTAAGGTTATTTTCCAAAAGAAAGGAATTAAAGATTTTTGAGAAGAAAACCGCAAGCACCTACTTGTTTGATTTTCGGGCTTCGATGAATTATTAAGAAAGATTGTTTGCAGCTGTTTGCATAGTAGTTTTGAAGAAAAGAAGTAATACAGCTAACATTTTAACAAATTTTTATGGTGAATGATGCTATTTTTTTTTTTGACTTTGTTGTTATAAGCCTTCGCGGTATACGGCTTTGTATATTTGATGACAATTTTGGAAGTTCGTAAAACCTTATTAAACGAACTGTATCAATGGGTTGGATGTAAGAAAGATATGCGTCAAATATAGTAAAAGAGTAATCAACGCTGGGATGAGTGGATTTTTTTTTTTTTTTTTTTTT